TGCTGCTACAGGCGTAGCACTTGCATTACAGGCAGATATTACCAATGTTTTCAAAGCACCGTATATTACCAGCGAGTCTATTTTATCTATGCCGTTTAATGGTACTACGGAGACACCCGGTGGTCAAAACCAGCTGGGTTATTATTACGGGGTATCTGCATTGAACGGTGGTAATGGCGAGTATTCACTGAACAATGCAGGTATTATTGCAGATGCTGGCTGGCTGGCAACAGATAAAAGAAGAAGCTTTGTCTATACCAATGCCGCCAACGGAAAAAAATACCTGTCTAAATTCCAGAGCGTTTCTCCCTTTACAGATTATTCTCCTGTGATACGCTATGCTGAAGTATTGCTGAGCCTGGCAGAAGCCAAAGTAAGAAGCACCAATACCATTGATGCGCAGGCAGTGGCGCTGCTGAACGCCGTTCGTACACGTTCAGACGCTACTACTACATTTACCGTGGCAAGCTTTGCCACCCCTGCAGATTTGATAGCCGCTATCTTAAAAGAGCGCCGCATTGAGTTCCTGGGAGAAGGTTTAAGGTCGCCTGATTTGTTGCGCCTGATGCTGCCCATTCCTGCAAAAAGTAATGTGGCTGCCATTGCTGCAACAGCGCAGAACTATATCTGGCCCATTTCTTCTACAGAATTACAGCTGAATACGCTGATGACGGATAACTAAATGGAACTGAATTAATAATTTTTCAAAAGGGTCGTATCTGCGGATACGGCCCTTTTTTTATGGTAACAGTAAATCATCCTGCTATTTTTTTGTAACTTAATGGGTATGAAAACTGTTTTTTCACTACTGCTGCTATTAACCGGCTACGGGTTGTTTTGCCAGTCTTATTCGCATGTAGAGGAAGCTTCTTCCAATCCTTTTCTGAACGATGCCAATGGCAGGCCGCTTTACCTGGTCAGTAATTATACAATGGAGGGCAGTCCTTATTTTATGGACGAATACCGCACTGCACAACTGGTAGCCGTAAAAGGGACCATCTATAAAAACGTGAAGGTGAAAATTAATATGGTAGAACGGGTGATTCAATACCTGGGTGCCGACGGTAAAGAAATGATAACAGATGTACCCGTAAAGAAACTGGTCTTTGACGATCCTTCTGGCGGCAGCAATACAGTGACACTGGAGAGTTTTTCCCAGGCCCTTAATACGCCGGGCGCTGTCATCTACCAGGTGCTGGACAGCGGCAATATTAAGCTGTTGAAGAAAGTCGTTATTAACAGCAGGGACGAAAAAAAATATGGAAATGCAGGTACTACCCGTGTTTTTGAAAGAAGGGAAACCTATTATTCAATGGAAAGCAGCGGCGGGATTAAAAAACTGGAAAAAGGAAAAGCCGCCATGCTTGATTTATTTACTGCCAGGCGCGATGCGCTGGCTGCTTTTATAGACCAGCAGCACCTTGAGTGCCGGTCCGAACAGGATTATAAAGCAGTGTTTCGTTTTTGTAATAATCTGTAGACTCAGCGCCCAAAGCCTTTCGGTACCGCATGCGCTTACGCCCATGCCCGTTAAAAAGTGCATCTTTTATCAACAGTTTTAATGTGTTATCTGGGCTGTCTATGCTGGCCACCTGAAGCCTGTGCCCATTGGTTTTTGCGTAGTTACAGGCAAAAACGCCAGCGCCGTGCAAGCCTCTTTTTTCATTAAAAAATGATTAAGAAAGGCTCTTTTTTTATAATTATTCTAATCTTGATAAGATTAAAGCTCTTTTTTTGAACATTTTAACTTTTGATAAGTTATAGTTTTGTTTTTTGTCATTAACATTCTATTAACTTAGCAATTTGCCTGCTATACCCATTTTTTTACAAAAACAAAACTAAAACTAAGAGCATGAGAAGACTTTCACTCCTTCTGGGGGTTGTACTACTATGTGTACAGCTTCTTGCCCAGCAACGGACCATCACAGGCAGAGTAACGGATGAAAAAGGCGAACCGGTTGCCAATGCATCTGTTACTGTAAAAGGCACTACCATTGGAACCACTACAAAAAGCGATGGTACTTATTCAATTGGCGCGCCAGCCGGTGCAAAAACCCTGGTTATTTCTTCTGTTGGACTGGCTTCAGAAGAAATTGCTATTGGAAGCAGAACGGCTATTGTTACTTCCTTAAAAGCATCCGACAGAACATTGGAAGAAGTAGTGGTATCTACTGGGTATACCCGCGAGAAAAGGTCGCAGTTTTCGGGTGCAGCAAATGTGCTGAGCGGAAAATTGATAGAGACAGTGCCTGTTGGTTCTTTTGACCAGGCATTGCAGGGCCGTGCACCGGGTATGCTGGTAAACTCCAGCTCTGGCCAGCCAGGCTCCAGCGCCACTGTAACAATAAGGGGCGTGCAATCTATACAGGGTGCAAATGCCCAGCCGCTTTATGTACTGGATGGTATTCCTATTTCAGCGGGCGATTTTCAGACGATGAACCCCAATGATTTTGAATCGCTTACTATATTAAAAGACGCAGGTGCGGCAGCTTTATATGGCGCCCGTGGTGGTACAGGTGTAATTGTAATTACCAGCAAAAAGGGCAAAGCAGGGAATACCAATTTTACCGTTCGCAGCCAGGTAGGCGTAACGCAGGCTCCCAGTTTTGCGCGTTTAAACATGATGAATTCTACGGAGATCCTGGAATATGAAAGGAGATTGGGATTGGCTAACTTAAATCCCAACACACCAGGATGGGTGTATTCAAAATCAAATCCAACATACAGCACCTTACCTGCAGCTACACAGGCCAGGTACGACTTCATGCTGGACAGCATAGGCAAAATCAATACAGATTACGCCAGCCTTTTTTATCGCCAGGGAGTATCGCAGTCGCATGAAGTAAATGTGAGCGGCGGTTCAGACAAGACAAGGTTTTTCCTGTCTACCGGTTATTTCGATCAGCAGGGTATTGACCGCGGTTCAGCTTTAAAAAGATATACCACCCGCTTTAATATTGAACATACTGCCAACAGGCTTACCATTAACTGGAATACGGCAGCAGGCTATTCTATCACCAATTTTTCAGAAGGTGAAGCATTGGGTAACAGTGCAAGAAATCCTTTCCAGATGACCTATAGGGCCAAGCCTTATGAGAATCCCTACAAGGCAGACGGCTCACTCAATTACGGTACCAATACAACACTGGCCCTTAAGCAGGTTGCCAATTTGCTGGAAGGCATACAAAACTCCAGTCTTCAGCAAAAGCAGATAAAAATTACAACTGGTCTTACCCTGGCGTATAGAGTACTGCCTTCACTTACTATAAGGAATACGTTTGGACTGGATGCTGCCAGCGATTTATGGCAGCGTTACATTGTTCCCGGTTCTTATATCGGGGGTCTTCAGGCATTTGGAACAGCCTACCCCGGACTGGATGTGGAAGGTACTAAACTGAGCAGCCAGCTAATCAATACTTCCAGTGCAGTGTTTTCAAAGAAGTTCGATAAGCACGAGGTAGAAGCCGGCGCTTATTTTGAAGTGGTTAGGGGTTACCAGAAAGGTCTTGCGTTTACACTATACAATCTCGATCCAAGACTTCAGTATACCGGCCAGGGTGCAGGTACATTGCCAACCAATGGCGCTGCTACTTACCCCCAGTATGGCACCAGTGCCAAATCTGGTTTTGGTATCCGTTCTTATTTTGCTACTGCCAGGTATACCTATAACAACAAGTATACGCTTTCAGGAAATATCAGGAGAGACGGCACTTCAAGGATTGCCAATGATCAAAACAATGAAATTACTACATGGTCAGCCGGTGCTATCTGGAATGCCATGCAGGAAGATTTCATGAAGTCTCAGGGGATACTGACAGATTTAAGGGTAAGGGCTTCTTACGGTGTTGTACCCAATATTGGCAGTATTTCCACCAGTTCATATGGCATACTGGGTACCGCTGCCGGCAACTGGTTAACAGTTACCAATTACCAGGGACCACAGGTGCCTTCATTTGGTACCACCAGCTATGCAGGTTCAGGTGTTACCGGTCTTGCACCCACTACACCAGGCAATCCTAACCTGAAAATTGAGAACATTCAGAAAACCAATATTGGTGTTGATTTTGCCGTTTGGAGAAACAGGGCCAGGTTTACTGTAGATGTATACAATAACAGGACTGTTGATCTTTTTGTAAGCCAGCCATTGAGCGGTACCACCGGTTTTACCAGCACCAATATCAATGCAGGTGTAATGACCAATAAGGGTATTGAATTTACGGCCAGCATAGACGTGGTTAAAACCAGGGATTTTGGTGTGTTGGTAGGGTGGAACCATTCTATCAATAAAAACAATATTGAAGACCTGGGACTGGTGAACGAATATTTCCTGGGAACTTTTGTAATCAGGAAGGGACTTCCTTATGGCTCTCATTATACTTATAATTACCTGGGTTCAGATCCTGCCACCGGTAAGCCAAGGTTTGAAACACAGGATGGCAAGGAAACACTGGATGCTGCACAGGCTGGCCAGTTCGCAAAATTCGGCACCTATCTTCCCAAACACCAGGGTGGTTTTAATACTGCTTTCCGTTTCAAAGGATTAACCATCGATGCCTTCTTTTCTTACCAGTTTGACGTAGTAAGAAGCAATAATATCCGTAACTGGATTACAAGAGGTACCATTGGTTACCAGGCATCTGTAAATGGTTCAAAAGAACTGCTTACCAACCAGTGGCAGAAACCAGGCGACCAGGCCTTTTTTCAGTCAGCCATCTACGACAGGGGTTTTACCTCATCTGACCTGGAAAATGCAAAATTCCTGCGTTTCAGAAGTTTAAACGTGGCCTACCAGGTGCCTGCTATCAACTTTAACAGCAAAGCAGTTATCAAAGGTGCAAGGTTTTATGTACAGATGCAGAACATTGCTGTATGGAGCCCATGGACAGGTTTGGATCCTGAAGATGGTAACAACATAAGTCTGAATGAATACCCTAACCCCAAAATGATTGTTGGTGGTATTGATATTAATTTCTAATGCATAGGGTCACAGGTATTTATTTGGATCAGCAACATTTCAGAATCATAAAAAAATAATCAAATGAGATATAATAAAATAATATTTTCTGCTGTTTTATTGCTATCACTCTTCTCCTGTAAGAAAGTGATAGAAATAAAAGAAACAGATTTTATTGGGGGTGAATTGGCACTTAAAACGGTTGCCAATAATGAGCAGGGTATCATTGGCGCTTACGCGGGCCTGGGTACAGAAATGGGCATACTGTTGAATGCTACTTTTTCAGATGAAGTTAAAAAGGGTGAATTCTACAACGCCGCTACTACACACGAATGGCAGTATACCTCCACAGATATTACCATCAGGGATAATTTCACCGCTTTTAACGCCTATTACAGAATTGTAGACCGCGTAAACAGGGTTTTGCAGGCTCTGCCAAAAGCAGATTCAACAAAGCAGGGCGATGAAGTACTGCGTGCAAGATTAAAAGGAGAGGCTTTATTTTTAAGGGCTTTCTGTCATTTTGAATTGTACAGGTACTATTGTGCCAACTACGATGCAGCCGGTGTTGGTCTGGCCTACATGGAAACACCTTCGCTGGAGCCAAAGGCAAGAATTGCCATGGGGCCCTTTTTTACAAAATTGAACGCTGACCTGGTGGAAGCAAAAACCCTGCTCCCCAATAACCTGGCAGATATAGCTAGGGCTACCAAACTGGCAGCTACAGGATTACAGGCAAGAATTGCGTTATATACTAAAGACTATACAAATGCCATTGCGTTCAGCACAGAATACATTAACGGTTTACC